TGAGAGCTGTCGTAAACCTTATCCACGAATTTGTTCCACATCTGGAAAAAACTAACGGAACTATTATTGATATCTCAAGTATCGCTGCATTAGCACCGGTAAAATTACCCTCATTCATTTATCTAATAATTAAATAATTAATTTTATTATTTCAAAATCAATGAATGTTAATTTTTTTAGGGAAAACCAACGTTGGCCTACAGTCCGGCAAAAGCGGGATTAGATATGTTGACTCGAGTACTGGCACTGGAGTTGGGTCCTAAAGGCATTCGTGTCAATACTTTGAAGTAACTTTTAATTAATTATAATTTTAATAACATATTCAATGAATAATACGTATAAACAAAATTGTTACTCTAATTTTAGTCCTGGTGCTACTGATGTGACCAAACCAGGCATGAATAATGATATAATCAGTGCGACACCATTGAGACGTATTGGTGAACCCCTGGACATCGCCAAAGGTGTGGTATTCCTGGCCTCAAGTGATGCTAACTTTATAACCGGTGCTAATCTGGTAGTAGACGGCGGACTCGTCTATAACTTTGGATCAGTTTTTAATTAAATAAACATTAAATCTTTTAAAATATAATTAACACCTATAAGTCTTATAATGCGATAAAATTAAAATATACTAAATTAATAAATAAACCATCACCTATTTTGTTGCTAAAGTAATAATTTAAATTGGCTAATATACAGAAATTAAAAATATCAACAAAAAATATTTAATTTACAGTAAAAACATTATAAATGTAACGTTTTTTGCCAAAAATAATCAATCTCGATAATGAAATCAAAAAAGTCACTTTTATTTTGATCAAATATCTATTACTTATATTTTAACTTATATTGGTCACTTATTACTACCAACGTATGTTTACATTTTAGTTTTATTATTAAATGGTATTTGCTTTTATCTCTGTCAATAGTTTATAATATTATCAATTATCAAATACTTAATTGAATTGATTAATACTGTAAAAAGCTTAAAAATAAAATTGTAGGATCCAGCTGCATTCAATTAATCTGATTTACTTTTCTGCATGTTTGTGAGAAAAGCAACACAATGTTTATAATGTCATGAAATTAAATCATATTTAAAAATCATGCATTAAATAGATTGTGGTATTATTGAGAGAATGTGGGAAATTAAACATATTTTTAATTTGGTTTTTTATTTCTTTTTTATTTGCAATATAACACAAAATTATAAAAATTTTAATATGTATATAAAGACAATTAAATATTAAATTATTAATACTTACTTTCTATTAATAATAACTTTATAATAAGTGATTAAAACATGAAATATTTAATTATATTAGCGTTAATATCGATAGTAAGCGCAGACTTCCCGATAGAACAGTATAAAGATGTGATAAATTCGCGAAACTTTACGGGAAAAGTAGTGTTAATAACGGGTTCGAGTTCGGGAATCGGTGAGGTTAGTGAGCGCAGACTTCCCGATAGAACAGTATAAAGATGTGATAAATTCGCGAAACTTTACGGGAAAAGTAGTGTTAATAACGGGTTCGAGTTCGGGAATCGGTGAGGGAATCGCCAAACTATTCTCAATATTAGGCGCTAATGTTGTCGTCACCGGAAGGAAAGCCACAGAAGTTCAAAGAGTGGCCAAAGAAGTGTTGGAATTATCACCAAAAAAGCTAAAGGTTAGTAAAACCAAATGGAAATACATTTTGAAATAATTATTTAAATATTTTTCACAGCCGTTAGAAGTTGTGGGAGATTTGACTAAAACAGAGGACGTGACAAAACTGGTGGACAATACTATTAAAACATTTGGTAAATTAGATGTATTGGTCAATAACGCCGGTATATATCCCGAGTCCAACATTACAATGAAAAACTTAATGGAAGTCTGGGACCAGACATTCAATATCGACTTGAGAGCCATTGTAAACCTTATCCATCAATCTGTTCCACATCTGGAGAAGACTAACGGAACTATTATTGATATCTCAAGTATTGATGGCATTGTACCGGTATGTTTTATATGACTACATTTTTAAAAATAAATTTTGTTATTAAAATTGCTAATAAAAATAAAATACCGTGATGATTTCTCTATTAGAATGTGTATGGGTTGGCTTACAGTCCAGCCAAAGCGGGATTAGATATGTTGACTCGAGTACTGGCACTAGAGTTGGGACCCAAAGGCATTCGTGTCAATACTTTAAAGTAATTTCTTAAATTATTTTTAATTTTATTATAAACAGTATATTTTATTTGCAATAACAAAAATGTTATCATGAATTCAGTCCCGGTCTTATCAATGTATCCAAACTTGGTTTGGCTAACGATGACATCGATAGAACACCGTTGGGACGTATTGGCCAACCCCTGGACATCGCCAAAGTGGTGGTATTCCTGGCCTCAAGTGATGCCAACTTTATAACCGGTGCTAATCTGGTAGTAGACGGCGGACTCATCTATGGATAAGATTTTGATTTCGTTGGAATTATTGATAACATTATAATAACATCTTTAACTTATATCACATTTTGTGATTTTAATTTCATTATATAATACATTACTTAACAAATGTTTGTATTTTATAAAATGTTTTGAAAAAAAATATTGTGTAATATATTATTAATAATATAAAATATTCTATAAAATAGATTTACATTTTTAAATACATAAGAATTTGTAAAAATTATATTTTGTGTGCAGCAACATTTTTTAATCAAAATAAGACAATAAATAATTTTAAATAAATATTTCTAATAAAAGTAATATAAATATACAGTATTTTGTGTAACTAATTATAACTTTTAATGATACCAATGTAAAATATTTATTAAATAATTTTATATATATTTAAAAATTAACCTAATAGATAAATAAATTCTAAGAAAATTATTAAAAAAGCTTCTAAATAAACATGATCAAGTTATCATGTGATATAATTAATTTATTAAATCACAAACATGAAGTTTCTGTGAGAAATTAGACACATTTTATAATTATAAATATAATTGTTTTATAAATGAAAATAATTCCATATAAATTCTGTAACAAGATTAATCTAACTTTCGCATAATAATATTTTATAATATATTGTAAAAACATGAAATCTATATTATTATTAGCGTTGATATCGATAGTGAGCGCAGACTTCCCGATAGAACAGTATAAAGATGTGATAAATTCGCGAAACTTTACGGGAAAAGTAGTGTTAATAACGGGTTCGAGTTCGGGAATCGGTGAGGGAATCGCCAAACTATTCTCCATATTAGGCGCTAATGTTGTCGTCACCGGAAGGAAAGCCGCAGACGTCCAGAGAGTGGCCAAAGAAGTGCTGGAATTATCACCAAAGAAACTGAAGGTTTGAAAAAATTAATTTAAAACTTGTTATAAATTAAGTTTATAAATATTTTAATACATTTTATAGCCGTTAGAAGTTGTGGGAGATTTGACTAAAGCAGAAGACGTGACAAAACTGGTAGACAATACTATTAAAACATTTGGTAAATTAGATGTATTGGTCAATAACGCCGGTATTTATCCCGAATCCACTATTGATATGAAAAACCTAATGGAAGTTTGGGATCAGACATTCAATATTGACTTAAGAGCAGTCGTACAACTCATTCATCAATCGGTTCCACATCTGGAAAAAACTAACGGAACTATTATTGATATATCGAGTATCGCAGGCATAAGACCGGTATATATATTTTTTGACTATATTGTCTTTAAATGTTAATTATAAAATATCCTGGTCATTTTTTACAAGGGTGCTTACGCTCTGGCATACTGTGCGGCTAAAGCGGGGTTGGATATGTTGACTCGAGTACTGGCTCTAGAGTTGGGACCCAAAGGCATTCGTGTCAATACTTTGAAGTAATATTTGTCTGCTATAAACACTTTATATTTAATTTTTATCGTATAATTATTTTTACAATTTCAGTCCCGGTGTTACCGATGTATCCAAATCTGGTTTGTCTAATGATGTGATCGATGAAACACCGTTGAGACGTTTGGGTGAACCCCTGGACATCGCCAAAGGGGTGGTATTCCTGGCCTCAAGTGATGCTAACTTTATAACCGGTGCCAATTTGGTAGTCGATGGCGGACTCATCTATAACGTAAAAGCCTTGGATTTCATGAAAATTATAAAATACAATTTGTAATAACAATAAACCTTTATAAGTATAATTATTACTTTTTAATCATTTGGATGCCTTTGATTATTATATAATGTAACTTACAGTATATTTATAATATATACCATATTATAAGTCATTATTTATAAAATATTATTTAATTTTTTTATTAATTAAAAAATAGTTGATAACGCCAAATATAATAATTTATGAATAAAATTACAAAATTTTTTACTGATATAATTAGTGAAAACTTAACGGAAAATTAACGGCTAATAAATATATAAACTTAGAAGTTCTACAGTGTACTAAAGTATTAGATGTGCCAGATAATTTGTGAAATAAACAAGTGCATTTTATCTTATGGTATAATTAATTTATCAAATATTGAACATTGAGTGCTTGTGAGAAATGAAACATATTTTGCTAATAAATATAATTGTTTCTATAATTGATTTGATAATTGATATAATTTCTATATAAAGATAATTCAAATTCTTATTATTTTTAAGTTTACTTTCACTAAATATTCCTATAAAACAATAATGACTTTGAAATTCATTATAATATTAGCGTTGATATCGATAGTGAGCGCAGACTTCCCGATAGAACAGTATAAAGATGTGATAAATTCGCGAAACTTTACGGGAAAAGTAGTGTTAATAACGGGTTCGAGTTCGGGAATCGGTGAGGGAATCGCCAAACTATTCTCCATATTAGGCGCTAATGTTGTCGTCACCGGAAGGAAAGCCGCAGACGTCCAGANGTTCGAGTTCGGGAATCGGTGAGGGAATCGCCAAACTATTCTCCATATTAGGCGCTAATGTTGTCGTCACCGGAAGGAAAGCCGCAGACGTCCAGAGAGTGGCCAAAGAAGTGCTCGAATTATCACCAAAGAAACTGAAGGTTTGAAAAACTTAAATGAATACTTGTTATGAATTAAGTTTATAAATATTTTAATGCATTTTATAGCCGTTAGAAGTTGTGGGAGATTTGACTAAAGCAGAGGACGTGACAAAACTGGTGGACAATACTATTAAAACATTTGGCAAATTAGATGTATTGGTCAATAACGCCGGTATATATCCTCTGACATCCATTGAAATGACAAATTTGATGGAAGTATGGGATCAGACATTCAATATTGACTTAAGAGCAGTCGTACAACTCATTCATCAATCGGTCCCACATCTGGAGAAAACTAACGGAACTATTATTGATATATCAAGTATTCTAGGCCTACAACCGGTAGATATTTTATTTATTTATTAAATATTAAAGGTATAAATTAACTAGTTTTATTATAATAAACTTATTTATAATATAGGGGTTACCTTATTTGTCGTACAGTCCGGCCAAAGCAGCCTTAGATATGTTAACACGAGTGTTGGCACTAGAGTTGGGTCCCAAAGGCATTCGTGTCAATACTTTGAAGTATTTTTTAATTGTCTATAATTTAATTATTTATAAATATTAAACCAAAATCTTGATCAAAATCCCAGTCCCGGTGCTACGGATGTGACCAAATCGGGTGCTAATGATGTCCCGGGAAGCACACCTTTAAGACGATTTGGTCAACCCCTGGACATCGCCAAAGGGGTGGTATTTCTGGCCTCAAGTGATGCCAACTTTATAACCGGTGCTAATCTGGTAGTAGACGGCGGACTTGTCTATAACATTGGAGCACTTTTTGGTTAATTAAACATTATTTTCGAGTAAATCTAATAATGAAAATATAACTATAAAAAATAAAATTGTGGAAAATTAAAAATTAAACTTCCAGTAGTAGTTAAATAAATATTATTGAACAATATTATGTAATAAACAATTGTTTTATCTAGCAATCTTATGAACCATAAGCTATATTGAATATGAATTGATTGGTCAGAATATATAATTATAAATATGTTACTAATCATTAAATTAATCTCAACTAATTTTCTCACAATTCCTATGAGAAAAACAACACATTTATAAACATACAAAGGAACAAATGATAAGGTACCATGATGCTATAAAAAGGTATCAAAAATAAGTTATTAAATGGCAATGAAACCAATTTCAAACTACAATTAACATAATGTCAATTACAAACATGAAAATCATTGTTTTGGTGGCGTTTGTGTCGATAGTAAACGCAAATCCAAACGACTTTCCTATCCATGACTACGAGGATGTGATGCACTCGAGAAACTTCACGGGAAAGGTAGTGGTAGTGACCGGTTCCTGTCAGGGCATCGGCCAGAGTGTTGTCAAACTATTCTCCATATTAGGCGCTCATGTGGTCATCACCGGTAGGAATGAAACAGTTGTCAAAGAGGTGGCCAAAGAAGTGCAACAGTTATCGCCGTATAAATTGAAGGTATAGTTGAAGCAATCAATGGATAATTGAAGTAAATGTTTGTCGAAATGTATTCGACAGCCTCTGAATGTGACAATGGATTTCTCCAAAAGTGCTGATCTGAAGGAACTCATAGCAAAGACAGCGAAACATTTCGGTAAAATAGATGTGTTGGTCAATGCGGTGGACATCAGTCCCGACGCAGACATCTGGCGACCAAACCTATTAACAGTATGGGATCAAGTGTTTAATGTTAACCTCCGGGCCGTCGTTGAGCTTATCCATCACGCGGTGCCACATCTCGTGAAGACAAAGGGAACCGTTATTAACGTATCGACCATCGGAGCGATCGCACCTGTAATTCGTATATCATTGAAAATATTAAAAATTATATTCAACTAACAAAACATACACTTAAAGCTCGGCCCATATCTGGCCTACGGTTCGGCCGAAGCGGCACTCGATATGTTGGGCCGAGTGTTGGCACTGGAATTGGGGCCCAAAGGAGTGCGTGTGAACACAATCAAGTAATTTATAATTTGTTTAAAATTTAATTACTAACTAATAACTAGATTACAAAAATATTTTGAGCTAAATTATACATAATATTGTTCAACATTTGTGGCCACACAACAGTCCGGGACTCATAGTAACCGAATGCGAGGATTGTGTTGAGCCGACGGCCGGAGAAATGGATTATTTGGAGAAAATAACGCCATTAAGAAGATTAGGGGAACCGTTAGATGTGGCCAAAGGGGTGGCATTCCTGGCCTCCACTGACGCGCAGTTCATAACGGGAACTAATTTGGTGATCGACGGCGGACTTGTCTATAATTATGCCGCTATTCTTCAGTCACATTAAGCGCTAAAACGAGTGGACATAATAATAGTTGCATTGTTTAAACATTAAACTTTATTGTCAATAAAAATATTTTAAAAAATTATAGAATTAATATTTGACTTATTTAAATAGTAGTCATGATATTTATAAAAATTTTTAACACACTAGGTTAAAAAATATTAAGTCTAGTAACCATAAATTTAAATGTTTAATTTTTAAAAATCATTTCAATAACATAGAGCTAGATCAAAATTTTTACAATTTGTCATTATCATAGCTACTTCTTATTTGCATAACTTATTTAAAATAAAATTTACTTTTAAAATACACCTATTAATAGCTAGATGCTTTTTAAATTGCTTTAATTATGTAGCATGCACAGTTTTGTATCCAAGCTACCAAGCTAAATTGTAAAGTTATGTAGGTATTAATAATTATGTAATACTTCATGTTGCATAATGCTGCATGATACACCTGTATAAAAGTTGATAGTAACAATTATCTAATAAAACCTATATTTTAATCGCACATGAATTTCATTAATTATGCTGAAAAACCAGATTTGATTTACACATACATCAGATTAAATCAGTGTTAATACGTATTAATGAATAACGTATGCATTAATCGTCAATTTGCACGTTATTTATGTCTTGAATTCTGGGTTAAAAAATTACATTACGTTTCAGTAATATTTTAATTGAAACACAAAACCAAACAAATTATCATTGAATACAAGTACTATTTAACACATAATATATACCATTGACTACACTATACACTGTTGATATAAAAAGGCCCAAAACTGCGGTAACACTATTAGCAGCAGATAAGCGGTTATTGGTGTGCATCGATTGGCTGAGGTGTCGGCCATATTGTGTATCACGTGATCGCATGTCCAGCAATACAATGGCATTCACTGACGACAACGCTATCAACAGTTAAACACACAATCAGTTCGTAATTATAAACACAATTAAAGAGTTGTGTTATGTTTTGCTGACCACTGACTGCACGCCAAACACCGCAATCATCTGCTGAAGACATCACATCACCGGATCTGATCCCAACAGAGATGTCTGTTCACTACAAGTTCAAGAGCTCGCGGGACAAACACACCGTCATCTTCGACGGCCTCCACATCTCGGTGTCGGACCTGAAGAAGGCTATTATGGCACAGAGAAAGATCGGCAAATCAGCTGATCTCGACCTCCAGATCACGAACCCTCAGACCGGCGAAGGTATGACACAATTGCCTGAAACTCTTGTCTCTTCCCTTCCACTCGAGGCCATCGCCTATTGATTGTCTCGTTGTTTGCCATATAGTGTACGACTCGGACGCGGCGCTCATCCCGAAGAATACGTCCGTAGAGGTGGCCAGAGTTCCCGTGAGTGGCAACCATAAGAAGTCGTGGTACGCGTAAGACATAGCCCTCCACTACCACTGCATTTGATCAATGAATTAACGTTTGGTTTTGTTGTTGTTTTTGACTGTCTTTAGGGATCGACTCGACGCTAACTCATCAAAAGGCGTACGAAATGTAGTTTTATTGTTATCTCTTATCTCAAAATAGTGGCCACTTTTTAACCGATTGATTGATCTGTTTTTATCGGCCAATCAATGATCAAACGATGTATTTAATTGTATGTTTGCTTTTGTAGGCCAACAGTCCGTCGCATAAAGAAGTGTTGAATATAACAAAAGTAATGATTATTTTTTGCCATCGATTGTCTGTTTTTGTGTTTAAATTATTAATTTTGCAATTGTTGTGTCATTGGATTTAGTCGTCAAACATATCGACGTCTTATGGGACGGAAGAGGAGGGGATAACGGCAGCGATAACACAAAGCACTCAGGATTACGATGTGTCCAAATTTGTCAAAAGCCGCGGTCCCATTGTCATTGGATTTAGTCGTCAAACATATCGACGTCTTATGGGACGGAAGAGGAGGGGATAACGGCAGCGATAACACAAAGCACTCAGGATTACGATGTGTCCAAATTTGTCAAAAGCCGCGGTCCCATCGGTCCCCTTCCCGCCAACTATACGTGCTATCGATGCGGACAACCCGGACATTACATCAAACAGTGTCCCACTAATAATGTATGCATTCATTCATTCATTTACTGATTCATATGTTTTTGTGTTTAATTGTGTCATTTTTAATGTATTTTCTTGATTTGATTTATAGACTGATGTGAAGCGAAGTACTGGTATTCCGAGGAGTTTTATGATTCCGGCCAACGCTGACCAAAAGGGTGCTCTTCTGACAGCCAGTGGTGATTATGCCGTTCCTATTATCGATCAGTAAGTGTCTTAAATTAGATGTTTTATGGCCACAAATTGTCTTATTTTGTTGACTAACAATTGTTTTACATTTCCAACCGTGAAGTCAAGCGTATGCAGTGGTGAAGAAAGAGAAGCCGCCGTTTATGCCGAACAGCGACGAGTCGGACGGCCCGGAGTCGGGACAGGAGATACCCGAAGACCTGAAGTGTACGGTGTGTCAGGACGTGCTTCTGGACGCAGTGCTCACCCCCTGCTGTGGAAACAGTTATTGTGATGAATGTATGAATTTGTTTAATAAAAACGAAAGAGTTATCGAAGTATTTCAAAATATACACCGCTTTTCTCTATCTATCACACAATCACTCACTACTCACACACTTTTCATACACACTAAACATATCCATAAATGTTTGATATCATTAAAAATTGATTTGAAAAAATTGCAAATTTTTAATAATATAATCAAATCTGTAATCAAAATAAGATAACAATTGATTTATTGATTGATTTTTTCTGACACTTGTTGTGTAATTGTTTTGTTTCCTATAAAAAACATTTATTTATTTTTTCTTTTTGTGTGAAATATTTTATATTTGAATATTTGATTGAAAAAAATTTGATGAAAATGTCATTTCAATTGTAAATTTAATTAATTTAATTCAATTAACCGTTGAATTGTTTATCACTTATATATAATGATATTTAAAATGAATGATAAATAATTAAAACCTAACTTTTTTGCCCCCAAAACACAGGTGTGCGGAGCGCTCTGTTGGAGAGCGATAGCCACGAGTGTCCCACTTGTCACGAGCAGAACGTATCGCCCGATCAACTCATACCCAACAGGTATTTGCGGTCAGCGGTCACTAAATTCCGGAGCGACACCGGCTATCACAAGGACCACAAGTACGTGCCCTTCTCTGTCAATGGGGTGGCGCCTAAAGGTCAGTCTCTATCGGCGGCCGCGACTGTGGCCGTAACGCCATCCACAGCGGCCACTGGCGTTGATAGCAAACCCGACGTCAAGCCCATCATTGATACTAAAGTGGACGACACACTCGACGCCAGACTGACACCTGACGTGACCGACACGACTACGACAGAGGCTGAGGACAAAACCGCGGTAAACGATATAAAAGCCGAGCCGTTTTCCTCTTCGCCACAGCCCTTGTCTTCTCCCAAACCTTCAGAGAGCGAGACTGCGGTCGAGAACTCGGCCGCCGACGTATCGATGGATGAGGTAATCCTCGGTTCGCCTAAAGTAGGCTATGATTTGGGTTTAGACGCCACGAGTCCTGACATTCATTCATCCAATTTGGGAACAAACGAAACGACAAATTCATTGCCACAGACCGACAAAATTACGGCTGAAGAGTAAGTGGTTTTTCATAGAAGTGTTGATTGAGTGGTGTTTTTATGGGTAAAACATTTGGTTATTTATTACGTTTATAGCGGAACTGATTCACAGCCGGGATCGACGACCACCGGACCCAACACGCCGTTAGTGGACGAACCGTCTGACATATACGACGCCGCGGTCACCAATGACCAGACCACTGTCCAGACGTCATCGTCGTCTGACGTCAATCCTGTCGTATCATTAGCTCAATATTCCAATCAAACGGTTCCGATGCAGGCATACCCGCAGCGCCATCGGATGCCGGGGCCGCCGCCGCAACAGATCCGCGCCATTCGCACGACAATCGGACCCCAGAATCCCGCTATGATGGCCGCCGCCGGTCAACGTAACCCCACTTTACTACCTCCACCCCCGCGGGGCTCTTTCCCACCGCCGCCCCGACCCGGTATGCCTCAGAACTTTCGCCCGATGGCCGGTCAGCCCTATCCCATGGCTATGAGTCACGCGATGCCGCCGTACGGCTACCCGCCGCAGATGAGACCCCCGACATACGACCCCTACGGCTATATGGGTCCCCGATCTCAGCACATGAGTCATATGCACTCTATGGCAATGCACGGTATGGCCGACGCCCCGCCACCCGGTATGCAGTCATTGGTTTTGTTTGTGTTAAACACTTGTTAATCGATATTTACATTCTTCAGGTTCTGCGCCAATCACTGACCCCTACTATAGCCATACGGCCGCCAATTACGACGACTACGAGGACCGACTCAACCGATTCACCCGACAATTGGAGTCCAAGTCCAGGAGTCGACCGAAACAGAGACGAAGCGCTTCCCGATCTCGGAGTCGACATCATTCGCGCTCCAGAAGTCGTTCCTCATCGTCGTCGACGTCTTCGTCGTCGTCCTCAACATCCCGTTCATCGCGTTTCACAATGAGTTCCCGTAGTTTCAGCGGTACCTCTCGTTCCCGGAGCCGATCCTATTCGCCGCACCGCCGGAGGTCACGATCGCGCGGCCGCTATCGTCGCCGTTCGCGCTCTCCATCGCCCGCTCGCTATCGGGACTACAGAGAGAGCGGTCGCGAGCAGAGGTACCGCCGGTCGCGCTCTCCCTATGGCGGCCGCAACCGTCGCGACGACGACCGCACTCACGGCCGGTACGCGAAGGACCGCACGAAAGACAACAACAAAGAGCGCGACAATAAAGACACGAAACATCGGGAGTTGAGAAGCGGTCGACACGAACGCAACGACACATCCAATCGTTCCTCTCATCGATCGGACGACAAGAAGTCGTCGAAAGACGCGTCCAAACAATCGCATAGTTCGCGGTGTCATAAGAGTCGCACAACTGATGACCAAAAGCGCTCCAATCGTACCAAAGGTTCCGTCAAAGAAGAGCCTAAAGATAAAAGAGTGCCAGAAATAGAGGTGACCGCCGATACCATTGCCGCCGCCACTGAAGCGACGAACGCTTTAACCGAAACGAAAGTCGAAACCGAATTAATTGATAAAAACAGCGAAATAATGGCCGAAATAGAGGCAATGGATACTAATGTTGTGAGTTATGAAACCACCACTGAATCCGAAGACAAAGTGCCCGAATTGATGGTATCATTGGAAGGGTATATAAGTGTACAAAATGACAAAATGGAGTCCAATGAAGACAACAGAACTAATTGTGAACTACAAGTGATTGAATCAAATGCTGTGAAAGAAGAGTGCGAACCAATTGAGAGGACAGACGAAGCAATTATGTTCACAGAAGCCGTGGACACACTCTATGATAACAACGAATCCGAATTAATCACTAAAAACAGTGACTTCTTATTCCTAACCGAACCGATGGACACTTTTGAACCCGAGATTGAGTCAAAGCCAGAGTTAGACGCAAATGGGACACAACCGGACGGCGCGGACACGAAATACAAGTCTATGGACAACGACGACAAGAATAAGTCGAGTGATAGGAAGCGGTCCAAAGACAAGTCGAAGAAACATCACAGACATCACCACAAATCCCATTACGACTCGGATTCGCGCCGTTCGGACGACCGGAACCGCAGCAGTCATGCGAAGGAACGGAACAAAGACAAGGATAGAGACAAAGACGGCAAATATCGGGAATCGAGAAGCGGTCGACACGCGGAGCCATCCAATCGTTCGTCCCATCGATCGGACGATAAGAAGTCGGCGGCGAAAGAGTCGTCAAAGCAATCGCACAGCACTTCTCGAGTCAGTAGTAGTCATAAGAGCGACGATCAGAAGCGCAGCAAAACATCGTCTAAAGACGAGTCCAACGATAAGAGCGCAGAATCGGCGGTCAAATCGATTGTTAAGAAAGAAGTGACGGACGCGACCGACACGACGGCCATCAAAGCGGACACTAAGACAGTGAATAACGATAAGTCGAAAGCCATTCCCAACGATAAGCAAAGGGACGGTTCGGACAAAACTAAAGACAAACAGTCGACTGAAAACAAAGACGTGAAGAGCAGGTCTTCGTCGTCGAAGCGCTCAAAAGACAAGTCAAAGAAACACCACAAACACCATAAGAGCTCAGACGACACCCGAGACAGCAAACGACGGGACGACGACTCGAAGAGTCGGTCCAAGAAGTCGTCGAAGAGGTCCCGAGAAGGCGGTGAGATTACCGGAGGCGGTGTCGACACGAAGTTTATTTGTCTGATAGACGTCTAGTATATAATGACAGCAAATGATTAGTATTTTTTATTGAAATATAGTTTTTATTTTAAACCCAAAACTGTGTGTTTCGCTTGAGATTTGATTCAAAAAGTACTGAACGTTTTGCCGGACGATCGCCAACACCGGGAGAGGTATCCAGTGGTGTGACCATTGTTTGCCACCAAAACTTATCGATAGTGACCGAACGGCCGGGCGTTTGTACTTTTTGATTAAGTCCTAAGCGTTTGTAAACTAAGAATATATTATAATTATTTTAACAAAAACGGGACGAAAGACACTCTAGTGCTCGATACCTATCGACATGTAATTTATACCATTTATAAGCCATTTATAAAGTATAACTTTATTACTACTATTTATTGTACAAATAATAAACCACTTTTATAAATATACATATAATTTAAATTCACATTCTGTATATATATCTATACATATATTTATAATAGGAACTAATTAACCAAATTTAGTTACAATTATATTTACAATTTCTGTTTTTAAATCTATCCTATTTTTTGTCAATAAAATATATGCGACAAAAGTTGTTAATAATTGGCCGTAAATATTGTAATAACGCTATATCTTATAACCGATTATAACCCGTAAATTAATTATATTTCACATAGACTTGTCGAGCAATTTAGTGTCTTTCGGACGAATCACTTTCGATGGGTTGTCGTCGACCCACCGATCGATCCACACAAACATCCCGTTTGGCTGTCCTCTCAAAGAGAGCCCACATATAATTAATTGAAACCATTTTTTTAATAATACATGAAATTATTATAAATAAAAATAAAATAATTATTTGAAAAAAACTATTGCGTTAATTCATTAATAAATAGCTTTTTAGCGAAACAAATTAAAACTGGGAGTACAGAGTCCGCCGCACATCCAGTTCTGGCCGCAGTCCTTATCCTTATGGCATTTGATCCAATTGTGATCGCCAGCGGCGGTGCGGGTCTGATAGCACCAGCCGGTGGTACAGTAGGACCAGCACCACTTCTCGTGACAGCCGCACCCGTTATGGCCCGTACAGGCGTTTTCGTTTGCCTTCATTTCCCGTGCGGTCGCGTTTCGGTGTGAATGCCGGTGAAGGCCCACATACGAGGCCATCGTAGGCTTCAATGGTATGCATAATACCAATAGCGCTAAAACAGGTATCAAATTTGTGATTAACATATCTGTTGCAAAGTTTCAACTGCACTGTTGGCCTGATTTACCACTAATTAGGTGTTAATTTTATATATTTATTAGATATAAATTTTGTTTGATTTAAATTATTTCTGTATACATATTTCTGTATATGGTATGAATGGATGTTTATGATTAAAACATGCATTTAATCCGTACGCCAATTAAAAGTGTATAATTTATATTTTTATTGAAGTTTTCGTTTCAAATAGTTATGTTTTCAAATGATTTTCATAAATATTTCGTGTTTTAAACATAAAATATTGAGTTATTTTTGAGAAATATTTTTCTAAATTTAGTAAATTAAATGCAAAAACATTTTATTCATAGATCTCTAACTATTACACAATTTTTATTTGATGTTTGATTATGAAATAAATTGCTTCAGAGAAACTGGTAATACATTTCCAAACCTCAAATCACATCTAAATTTAATATATGGTTAAAAGCATTGGCTTTTTGTGTTGGGAATAAACATGCATTTTTGATCTCAATGTTAAACCTATTTTATAATAAAATTCACATTAAATTACATTCAAATAGATATCACATGCGATTTGTCAAAATATTTTAAATCACATATTGAGAGATATTTCACGCATATATAAAAACCCAATTAATTAGATTTATGTTTAAATTGAATTTATTATTATTTGTGAAATTTTAACAAAATTTTTAAAATATTGCGTTTTCTTTCTATAATTTTATTTAAGTTTTATTAATAATTATTTTAATTAATAAAATTTTAAACTTCTTTTATTATTTCTAAAATAAGAAAAAAACTTTTATTCAATTTTAATATTCAGTTGTTATTTAATGTTAAATAAAAATTACGAAAATTTTATTTTCTGTCAAATTAAGGGATTGTAAAGATTTATAATTTTTTCCAAGATTTAAATCTAGATAATTAAGGCCCTAATGAGCAGAGGTTTTAACGCATAAATTGCTGAGAAAACAAAATATAATATTAATTATAAAGAAATTCTTATAAAAAACATTTGAAAATGAATTATGGGTTTAATGTTTGAAGATTGAAGTGATATACGACTTGAAACACATCCATAAAA